ACTCAAAGGGTTAAAGGAATAATGTACAAAGGGAAAGCCCTTGTATTATAGTGTTTTAATTATTGAAAGCTAAGTCTGTTATAGCTCCATAATGATACATTTTGAGCTTATTAAACTTTGGCGATTTAGCACTTTTTTACCACTGCCAAAACAAAAGAGGCTGTGGGATGTGCAAATGCGGTATATTTTACCCTTCTTCCTAATACCTCTCCACATAATCTGTATACCAGCTGGAGGAGCAGTTGTGAGAAAGCAATTATTATGCACAGGTGAACTCATAGATCTCCTGCTCCCTCCATTAGACCACCAGGTGGGGGTTTTTTTGTGTGTTTTTTTTTTTTTTTTTAAAAGGACAATAAATTAAACCACTATAAAATGCAAGTTTTCCTTTTAAACCATTATTTAAATAAACGTATAATAACATTAGCTTTAAAGGTAAACTAAGATGACTGAGGCATTCTACTGTTGGTTAGAAGCAAGTTCTTTGTCCGCATTAGTTATGTTCTCAAAGTTGAAATGCAGAATTATTTATTTTTACCACCAGCAAAAACAAATAGGAACTTATCTGAATTTTCCTAACAGGTCTGACGTTTTGATATTATTTACAACTGGCTCCGGAACATCTTTGTTGTTGTTGTTGTTGATTATTTTGTATTTTTTTTTCATGCTAAACAGAAAAGCCAATTTATTTAGGTTGTACCATTGCTATGTTATAACAAGTAACGGTGCATTTCAACTCATTCACCTAAGCTTGCAATCACTACAGATGCTGGGTTTTCTAAATCAAGCAGTTCACGTTAGCACTTCTGTGGACGCCAAACTAAAACGTAGTAGTTAACTACAATAAAATATATCCCTTGTCTAGCTTTCAACCGGACCAAGCACCTTTAATGTCAATTCCTATGTATGTTTTTAAAAAACACTTTCCTTTTCATTGCCATTAGTCTAGATTAACTACAAGTATCTTTTCCTGTATATGTCTAATCACTATGCAATGGAAGCTTTGCAAAAAGGAAAAAAATATGGCGCACTTAACCTTTTGAGTGCCTGTTTAGTGTAGCCTGTTTTCAAGCACTTCCAACACTCAAAATGTTTAAAGACTCAGGATCTCATTCATTTATATTTTGTTTTCAACACATTTACTTTGGCATTTATTTGATGTATGTTGCAACATTTGGAACAACAAAACAATTATGTAAAACTAAATGACCAGTATGTTGTTTAATTCTTTCAGTAATTTTTGTTTTTGGTTTAGCAAATATAATATATATATATATATAAAACCACCTCGACCATGTTTCCCTGGGCAGTTGTAAATGGTACAAGCTGCGTGCTGCCCATGATGAGGTATAAAGGCTTAACATTCTTCCAGTGGTTACTGATAAATAATCACAACTAGTACCTCTGACACATGTGTTCTATACACTGGGCAGCTCAATTCGTGTTCATCCTGACAGCTTATGAAATGTATAGCTGCCTGGTAAAAACATGGTTGAGGTCTGTATATATATATATATTACAAATTCTGTATGATATTATCTTTGTGGGCCAGAGGTGGTTTATACAGATCTATCAGAGTAAAGTCACAGGGATTTTAAATAATGTCATTTTGTTTGCCTGTTAGCCCTGATGCAAAATGAGTTTCGATTAGGGAAGAGACAAATGCCCCTCGTGTTCCTTGGGGGTAATATACAAGCTGAATATTGTGTACTAATATAATCTTGGGTTTAGTAGCATATCAATAACTATGAACTATTTTCTATTAACAGTTGCATTGGGAATTATAACAATGGAAGCACTTAGTCCCAAATAAAATAAGATACAATGCCAAGCAATGGTCATCTGTATGTTATCAGGTATGTAGTTAGACCATCAGTGTTACAGATAGAGAGAAATATTTTTCAATGTTGTCTTATAACATTACAGTAATGCCAGTTGTTTTATGTTATTGTTAATAATCATTTTCTTTCTTTAACTTTCTGTTTGAATTTAATTGGGAAAAAAATGCTTATAAGAATCTTTTGCAGGATTTCTTTTTTACAAATAACCATGGCCTTATCTTGAAATAGCAACTTGAATGTCATACCACTACTGCAGGTGTAGGTAAAGTAACCAAAGAATTATGTGTTCTTTATTCTGTTAGACTATTATAATATAAAAGATACTTTGACGCTCACTATCAATTCATTCCCCAAATCTCTTTACTAAGCATAGATGGAATAAAAGCAGCAGACCTGAACTATCGTTTTCTGATATTTGAGTATTCGTTTTCCTATGTCATGAGTTTGTTGCTCATCATGGTTCATGGACTATGTATGAAAAATGCTCCAGGCAGTATGTAGTGTTCAAATGCTGCAGGACTGACAAGAATTATTTATCTTGTCATGGTCCCAAAGAAAAAGCTCTTAAAGTAGGTTAAATAATTTATCTTCTGAAGTATGTGAATGCTACATATTGAAGCACTATTTTTAACACAAAAGCTCTATATTAGGAAGCGTTTATATATGTGTGCACCTGAGAGTTCAACAGATTCAACAGCTTTTCCTCAACATCTTCCTGATTGGCAGTACAGGCAAAGTATGTAGATTCTATAAAATGTAGGACAGACATCATCCAATACAGCAATCATAGAGAAAATTTTAAAAGTACATACATTTTCCTCCTACACATTATAATGCTGGTACATACTACAGGTCATCACTTTTCATGTACTGTTAAATATGAACAACTTATAATTTTCCAGGAAAACATGGAACAGCCCTAGTTGCACTATTAATGGTGTCTAGAAAAATGTAATTGATTGCCCAATAAGGTTCCAATTAAGATACTGATAAGATCTGAGCAACCAATGAATCATTTGGTCTTTACTAGTATAAATGTGTGGTAGAATTGTTGGCTGTGCTTCTAAGTTGTCCTGACTCAAAGCTTTACATTGACATCTGAACCTTCTAATGATTTATTTATCAGCCGAGTTTCTATTGTTGCCTATTCTAATCTGGTCTGCCTGGGAGAGTTCATTTCATCTTTTGAATCACAGTTTGCTTATTATTAAATTGCCCATTGTCCAAAAAAAAAACTACACATTATTGTTCTCTTTAGATGTTTACCATAATGCACTTCCAGAAAATGAATAGTGTATAGCGATTTCCTCCCCAGCATGTTCTATGACATGATGAAATGGATAGTCTTATGGATTTCATCAACAGATAGTTGACCTGACAGCGAGCGAAAAAGAAAACAAAATTGTCTACAGAGAAGGAATGAGCATGTTGTGCAGAAAAATAGTGTATGTCTTGCTTAGATTTTGTTGGCCTGATGAGTTTGTGTGTGAAATGACGATGTTGCATTTGAAAATACTAGTAGTACTGTGAATGTTATCACATATGACCCTTGAATATGGTGACAAGTTTTAAACTGGTCTTGGCATAACAAGGATATGATGGAAACCGGTAGGTACTTAAAATGTTTCACTCTGGCGCTTACGAGATTATTCGCCAATCCAGAGATTTTAGAAAATTGATAAGAGCAATACAGATTTTAATACAACATTGTTGAGTTTGGAGACACTAACCCCATAAATGAATGTAAAGCAGTCAGAATGTTTATATATATCTATCAGCAGGTTTATTTAATAAGATGATGATCGTCGGGAATTCAAAATTCCATGTAAAGTGAATTTTATAATTTAGGCCAAAATAGACAAATTTGAAAAAGTATCCAAGTTAATTCTGTTTTCAGTATGAATATTTTGACCTTAAATTTGAAATTCACTTTTAATTCCCCCAATTCTCACTTTAGTGAATAACCCTTTAAATGTTTTGATCAAGTGATGGAAATCCTTTTAAAATCCTTTTAAAATTAAACGTATTTCTTTCATTCAGACACTAAATGTATTATGCCATCTATGCAGAGAATACAGAAACCCTACCATTGCAAAGCATAGGGAAACAGGTGTGGTGTATTTTGGAGATTATAACTGTATGACAGTTTATGTGCTTTAACAGTCTAAGTGTTTGAGCAGCACAACCTGAAATCCTACTCACCCACCTGGTGCTCAACAGGTTAAATGCCCTCTGTAATTTGGTTTTAAACAGTTAAGAAGATCATTTTCTAAATTCAGACCCAAACAATAGAAATAATAGAAATACTATCCAATTCAGCAAAGTGGGATACTTTTTTCCCAACCCTGCTATTTTCCAATTTATTACTCCAATAAGTTCTCCAACTCAGTTTTTTTTATTCATACTTCTGCGCCTTCTTCCCACACTGAGCTTTCTCTGCTTTTTTTACAAATAGTGCTGGACCTGAAATCAGGACTTAGGGTTTCTAGGAGTCATAGTTCAGCTCTTAGCTTTGCACAGCAGGAAGGTGACATCTGAACTAAGTCTTTACACCAAGTTCCAGAGCAGGATTAACCATAGGGTGACCTATAGTTAGACAGGGCACAGGTGTTGGACAGAGTCCTAAACTCGTAAATTTGTTTGGTCCCCTTCAGCATCTCTATGTGAAGAATGATGGAGTTCCCCTAATCGGTAACCTACCAAGGGCCCTGTGGAATCTTAAACCTTCTTTGCCAAGTGTGTCCATAAAGCCATGCTTTTGAATTAAGACAGTTCAAGGAACACTACAGTTACAAAAAACAAGACTAGGAATATGTAGGAAATACACGCATTTTAAATATAAATAGCTCTAAAAAAAAAAAAAAAATTACAGTAAAAATATTTTTTCTGTGTATTTTTAATACCCTGTCTATGTAATGCATTCAAATAGGTAAAACCCTGTGTCCCTTTGAATTAGGCACTTGCTCAAAATGTGTTGTCATGTAGGAGATAAATGGTGTGTGCGTACCCTCTCTAAATTATATATGGTATATAATTACTTAAAAAACAGCGCTCTGTTCTAATGAATAATGGCATATACATATAAAGATAGGAGACAGAATGTGTCTGTGGGAGATGAGTAGTGAGTTCTCACTAGCTAACATTTACACGGATGGTGCACTTTGTGTAAGCCGTAATTTGAAGGCAGGAATAGTTATACTGTTTCAGTAGTTATTGTTCCAGTTTGTTGCTTTAACATTTTGTTGTGCACATCTGATATCTAAGGTATAAAGAAATGAAAGGACCAATGCTAAAAAGATATATTTTTTGCTTTTTGTGTTACATGCTGTTAGACGTACTATGGTATCTTTTATTTCTATGTTGCAACCTATTGATTGGTTTAAACGTTCTGGATTAAAAAAAAAAAATAGTTATCGTAACCTAAGGGCTTCAGATATTTGTAAACTACATTTTCAATGTGCTCAGTAAGCCAAGCAAGTTTAGTAAAGTGGATTTCAAATCGAGATATCTAGTTTGCAGAATTCAACATGCTGATTTGGCATAATTTCACAATATTAGCTAACAGCCCAAAGTTCAGGGAGAACGGTTACTCCCGTGGGATTTACAGCATTGAATAAAACATTGAAAGTCACCTTTAATCACCATTATAATCTAGTTCAGAAAACTCAGAGCCAGGGCAAGCACTACAACCGAAGAGGAGAAATAGAAACATTGTGTGTTATATATATATATATGGCATGTTTTCTTTTTTTCAGTTTGCACTATCATTTTCTGACCACACCAGTTTCCTGTTTATAAAACTTTTATATCACTCTTTATATATCGGCACATTTGAGGAAATGATAGAAATCTCAATGTATCCATCCTGGTAAAATATTTTATATATAAATACATTTGTAAGAGTGTCTGTGACAATAAAATGTTGGAAACATGAACACAGAATTGTGCAACAACAACAAAAAACCGCACCAGATAAATGTGTTGGTTAGATTGCAAAGAGTAAAATTTTGGAGCAAGAAATGAAAGACACAAAATGAAAATGCTACAAAAAAAAAAGAAGCTCTTAATGCAAGACCCCCACTGTTTCATTTCTCCTTTTCCTGAATGCTTTGTCTGTGCCGACTGCCAGGAATCAAATGACATAGTTCATAAAAATGATTGACAAGGGAGCTAAGATTGAGGTGACCAGTTGCAGGATAAAGTGATGTGGATTTCCACAATAAATTGTATTTCTCTCAACCCACAAAAATATATATTTGATAAATATAAGGATAAGTAAACATAATACTAAAAATCCTGCAAAGTGACAGATCCCGTTTAAAATTAAGTGCTCAACCTGATATGATTCTAACAGTTAAATAACATGTTGCCATTGATGGAACTTTAATAAAGTAGTTAAATTAAATATGTTGGATACAACTTAGTTATTTAGCAATTGTTAGATAATTAGGCTGCTTATGTATTTGGTGGCATTCTGTATACTCTGGATTCAAATTTCATCATCCAAGAACTAGTTAGCAAAAAACTAACTAGTAATCAGTATCTCATTTGGTTATTAGTAAACCTTTCAAATTTAGGGAGAAAGAATGGATTTTGAATGCAGTTTCACTAACCACCACATGGCGTCACTGATGTCACCCAAAGCAAGCGGTCCCCAAAAATCAAAATCAGTATAGCTAGGAGGCATGGTTTAGGTAAATAACTGAATTTTAAACATCAGAACATGTTTGACAATCTAAGTGGCAAATTAACATAGGAAATTAACTGTATCCTGTAGTAAATGAACTCCCCCTTGCTGTGTAATAAATAGCAATTTTCCATAGATCTCATGAAGGCTTACTTACGGATTATTCACTGAACCCTGGATTATAGTGAATTAAATTCAAGCGGCAACACTAAGGCTAAATAGCCGAGCTGTGACTATAGCTCAGTTGAAAAATGTTTCCAACTCTTCTACTTTAGGCTCAATTTTGCCACTTAGATTTAATTCCTTAAAGGGTGATTTGAAGGGGTCATGGTGGTAGGAGTATGTTTGTACAGTGTTTCTGCTTGGCACTTGTGTGCCACGGGCTAGTTATGCCCCTTGCACATGTGACTTAGGCAGTCCAGACCTCCAAACTCGCTCTTCACTCCCTCCCATTATTTATTGAGCCCCCCCCCCCCGCTTTGCCTAATTTTGTTTTCAAAATGTTTTCCCCATCACCTGTAAACTCCCCACTCCCTTCCCTCACCCGCTGATTGTGTGCATGTGCTTTGAGCCAGCGAAATGGTCCAATCACAGGCTTCTCCGAGAGAAGCCTGTAATTGGACCCCACGAGTCTCCCTGCTGACGTCAGATGCAGGAGGGAGCTCAGCGCTGGGAGCTTCTTTAGGTGCGGAAATACAGTAATGTTTGAACTCTTTTTTTCAGCATTTAAAAAAGGGGGGGAGGGGGACGTAACACCCAACAGGGCATTATAACTGAAGAAAAAAAATAATGTTTTAGAAATTTTAAAGTAATCCTTTAAATTGGGAGTTTAGTTAATAACCCTGTTAGTCTATTCAGTAAACAGTTTCTTTTCATAAATTAGAAACCAATATAGGCCAAAGTAGACATTTAGACATTACGTATTTGTTGAATATGTAATACTGGGTTATTCACTTAAATGAGAATTGTTGGGAATTCAAAGTGAATTGAAATTTTATGGACACAATAGTCAAACTGGAAAAATAATACCAGTTAGCAATGCTTCCAATTTGGCTAGTTGACCTTTAATTCTCACTTTATTAAATAAACCTGTAAGTTGCATTACTTCACACAATCTCTTTGGAATAAATCTTCTAAATATAGAATATCTAGGAAATCTAGAAAAGTCAAAGAACTGCTCGCCATCTGCTGTGTACAACTCAAGTTTAAATAAAGCCATAGTGAAATCAACAACAACAGAGGAGTAAAACATGCTAAACTTCACCAACTGCAATAATATAAAAATATACAAAATGTCTGCACATCCCTACTCCTAGAAAACAATATAACATAAGACGACATAAATCTTTCCTGAAATATAATTATATTTATACAAAGGATTTATCACAAATTCCCTGTCCCGTGGACTTAGTGATCGATTCACTGAACCATGAGATTTAAATAATATAAAATATTTGAATATATATTTGTATTTATGATTAAAAATGCATTCCATATTCTTACAGAAAAATGTTTGTTTGTTTTTAGGTTTGGGATTTGTTTGACTTTTGAGGTAATGTAGATGTAAATGGCAGGCCTCCCAACCGTCCAACGCAATGGTTCCATGTGCTATTAAAGTTGTCATTACGATATCTTAATTTGCCAGGTTAACTTAATTTGCTGCTACTAATTCAGTGTAAACAAGCCATTAGAATGGATATGATTGTTTTTATTAATCAGTTGCTAGAGATGCTTTGCCTTCCTGGATAAGCAATATTGGGTTATTAAGATGTTGTGGTATACACATTTCATCATGATAAATCACAGGCCTTTGATCCCAAAGGTTGTCCATCTTAAAATATTAACAATTGTTATAGCACCCCATATACTACTTCTATTCTTACTATGTCAAGAGTGTACTTATGTATACAAGTATCTAGTACGGCAGTTTGTCAATGAGACATCATGGAGCCACGTAACGTCATTATGCAGTGTTAGACTTGTTCAGCAGTACATCTAGACCCCAAAGAATCTGTGTTTTCAACGTGATCAGTCGAGTTGAACCTGGCTGTATTGATTGTATTTGTCAGAGGTAATTGGAGAGACAGTGATCTAGGACAGACTTGAATTGTCGGCATTGGAAATTAGCAGTGTTTATATTTGCCTCTTGCCTGAATGTGCAAAATTCTGGCCTTAATTTAGGATATTAATAATAGGATATTCCACTAGATCATAATGGGTTAGGAACACCTCACACCATCAATTATTCTTACTAATTAAGAAATCATGTTCGACACCATGTTTCACATATTACACAATGGGTTGGAATACCTTATCCTAATGAAAGCAATATCAGTTCATGCTAATTATCTAGATTAGTAGCAAGTGATGAGTTGAAAGCAAAATCTGAGACTCTCTGACTGACTGTCACCGGACGCCTGGCTAAACCTTCCTCATACGGCAGAAAAGGATGAAACTTGGAGCAGCTGTGTTGGGTGCTGGAGGACCTACCTCAGGGATAAACCGTTACAAAACCGTATATCCCCTGAAGGAAAGACAGTGCCTGAACACTCCTGCTGCTATAGAAACTTGAATGAGTCGCACTTGTAATGTGGAAGGGAGTGGATTAAAATCCCTATTATAGATGAGCTGTGGTTTGATGTGTGTCTTATGTACGAGTTATATTTAGGACTCTGGTTCTGATATTTGTTGGCTACTGAGTGAAAGCTATTCTGGACATACAAAAAAGATAATGACGACCATAGGATTTTCTAGTAGCTTTATTTGTTATCCTAATATGACAGTAGCCCTTTAAGAAATGGCTAATAGATTCTACCTTTTACATTGTATGTTTGCCTGGCTTTCTTTCATATTGTCACAGCCCATTACAGCCATAAATGCCTGTTCTTGATGTACACCCCAATATATGGCTTTTGTGGACTGATCATATTAACACAGGCAAGCATTTGTGAAGAGAAACATTAAAATATTGAGATAAGAAGCTGAATTAATTTTAAAATGCAGTGACCATGAATGGTGGGAGTTGAATTGGTTTGTACAGGAAAGAGCACTTTAATATAAAAAAGTGAAAACCAATTTGAAAAACCAGTTGAAAAACAACACAACATAAATCCAATATGTAACCTACGACTTGAGTAAGAGCTGAAATAATGGGAGATTTCTCTTTGATCCACACAGCCCTAGCGTTCTAATAGATTTAAACATCCTGGGTTTCTGTTTACATTTGGAATGTTCTTGGTGTCTGGTACTTAAGCTTTCAGATTCATAAAAAGAAATGTATCAGATGAGCCAGCTAAGTATTCATTATTTAATACCGGCCTGCAGCTCTGCTCATAAAGCATCAGTCACTCCCAGATGCCTCTTCTTTCTAAGCACATGTTTATAGTGAAAACAGCCCTTATCTTGAAAGTTAAACCCCTGGGTGACCAACTGAATGCACCAAAGGATACCTTGAGTTAATTTAGAGAGAGCATTAACCATAAATTCAAATATCTTGTACTCCCAAACAGCTTTGGTAAATGTTTCAGGATATCAGGGCTTTAGCTTGCTTTTTACTTCTATGAGCAGCCGGTCATTGTAACTAGATACATTTAATTAGAAGATTTACTCAACCATTATAGACACATTGTAGGCAACTAAAACAAAAATATATATTTTTACTTTATTTCAAACCTCAATTTTGATCTATTCGTGGCATATGGGTTTAGTGTGAGCTTGAGCGTCTCTACTACTACTGTAGGTCTGAATCAAACGCCCACTCCAGTAATCTGTATGTAATTAATATGCATCATTATCTAGTCATTTGTCTGGGAAAGAAAAGTAATAGAAGCTATTTCCCAAAATCAGCTATAAATGTCTGAATGTAATCCCTCTATTTCACTAAATAATATGATGCTCATTAGATGCCATATCTCCAGTCTATATATATTCCTATCCTTGCATGGGTTTCTTTGCATATCAAATATCCAATTTGTAAATTATTTGAATGCATTTAGCCTTGTTAGAAAGAAATGAACATGATCCTATCATTTTCTAGAACACTGAGTTAGTTGGCTAACACTGTAAATTAGAAGAACATGTATTCCTAACAATGCAGTGCTGGAGTAGCAGTTTAGGTCCTTGTCCCCCCACTGAGGGTGTTAAAAGGTTTAAAACTTACCTCTTCTGCATCTTTATGATCTCAGCCAATCCAATGCTCCTTCAAACGCCACGCTGTGCCAATCTGCAGCTCCTCATAGAAATGCATTCTATCAATACATCTCCATGGGGAACGTTCATAGAGACGCTGAACGAAGGTGCTGTACAATGTGCAGCATTGACCCAGGAAGCACATCTAGTAGCCGTCCCTAGGCAGCAATGTAAACACTGTCTTTTCTCTGAACATGCAGTGTTGACATTGAAAAGTCTGCAGGTACATGTTATAGACACCAGAACTACTACATGAAGCTGGTGACTATAGTGTCCCTTTTATGGAATATATGGAATTTTTTAATAATTAGTTTTATTTCCTGCTCTTTAATTATGTTTGTCCTTAGTACTCAATTTCTCTACAACGTACTGAGTTTAACCTATTTCATGCCCAAAGAGGGAACTACGTAATATGTATTTATTTTCTCCAGCACTCCAAGTTATGGGATATAAGTGCTTTGGTTGATCTGCCACAGTGATTGACCCAGAGGTTGATACAACCAGTGCTATGAACTTGTATTTGTTTAACACAGCAATGGGAAAAATATTTCAAAACTATAATAGCCTTAACTCTAAGCTCTAGAACTTTTTGTAGTTGTAGAGACAGCAGGGCATGAGTGATAGAACGGAATTTATTTATAGTCTGTTATTGCTTACGCGTGAGATCCATTGTAGAAGCAAGTTCTGTGACTGCAGACAAGTTTCTTGGTAATCATTATACCAGAGATTTTTATTTTGACAAACTATGCCCTTTTCTGGGATCAACTTCAAACAGAATTGTTGATGGAAGGCAGTTGGAATCGACCACGTGGCAGGTGAGAGGACATATTTCAGATCCAATTTGCTTGCCCAAGTGGCTGAGGAGATTTTTTTTTTTCATTTCTCGGCCTAGTTTGGAGTTGGAAGCCTCATGACTATTGAATGAGCTATATCTCAGCTTGCCGCTGTGCCTACACAGATACCAAAACAAAGATTTCTAAAGACTGTGCTTTAGATTATGCAATAAAATCAAAGATTAGCCTTACTGCCAGTAATTATCAGCATTGTATTTCCAGCTGTTTTTCTACTGATTTTATTAGTACATTATTTTATTTTACATGCTCTACTTGCAGACATCCTTGTAATACAATTAGCACCAAGATTTGAAAAAAGACAGCAAATTCATACATTTTGTACCAGGCGGTGGCTATGACTGTTATTATTTAAAGAGGTAGCGTTAACGTAAACATATTGCTAAACAGCTATTTGTGGTTTAATGGGACTGTTTAAGACTTTGTTTGCCTTGAGCCGTGGCAGGAAGTGGGTTACTACAACAATTAATGAAAATCATTGATTTATTATATTACTAGCAAAAAAAACCTTCTAGATTAAGGTCAATTAAGGCTAATTGCATTTTCTTTAACCATGAAAACAGAGGGAAATATTTATTCAGCCCCAAGATGATGATTTTGTTTTACGTTAATCGAATTCCGCTTTGTCTATGAAATTTTGGAGCAGGGTGCTCTGTTAATCTCCAAAAGCTGTGAGGTCCAGTATGTAGATTGATGATTAACCTCAAAACTCTGTTAAAAGGATATGTCATAGACTTTTGGAGAGTTACAGGCATTGTATTCCAGCCTGGAGGAAGCACCTCAAAACCCTTCATCTGTTGTACGAACATCAATTAGCACATATCTGTTCATTTAATAACAGCACTATATATACCAAGCACACATTAACCTGTACACACAAACAACATGAGCAAAGCACTCAACACTTCACCTGGAGTGTGAATGTGTGTCGGACTTCGAGAACTTCACTCCTAATTTAGAATAGCCATAAAAGTGAAAGAAAAAGATACAACATCATCTTTACTTTGGTATACCTTATTTGATGAGCTCTCTTAGGATCTATTCTAGACAAACACTCGAATTGGTCAAAATGTTGTCAGGTACACCTTAAACTTCCAGATTTTATGATTTCGTCCACTTGAGATCATGCAAATTAAGCTGCAACCAAACACAAATATTTATAAAGTTTGAGATTTGTCTTGAAAAAAAAATTTAATTGTTGAGAAAAAAATAGGACATTGGTTTCTCTGGCTTGGTTAAGCATTGTTTCTGAAAGTTTAGGAGATCAGATCGAACTGACTTCTACAGACTTGGTGCTTTTTAAGTTGAATGTTAGTTGGTAATGTCAATGGTGCTATGGAATGTGTGTTGTAAAGCAATACTTGGTTTGAGACAAACAGTTCTGAGACCTTACCAAGCTTGGGCTTTTTTCAGTACCTTTTTACTGAAGCCCAGGTGACCTGTTCTAAAAGAATACTTAGTCATGAATCAGATGTATGCAGATGTTACATAACAGAGAAATTATTTGATTCATTTTTTTCAACCAGAGATAGAACTATCTGCCTGATTTTAGCCTCTTTAAGTCAAGCCATTTTATTGAATAGCTTTGCTCAAAGCCCAGGGTCCATAAAAGTGTTTGCTAGTTTTATTACATAAAATAATGAAAAGCTTCTTTTACAATTTCTCTATTACTATGTCGACTAAATATAACTGCAAAAGGTGCTGTAATATATATATATATATTTTCTTTGTACAAATATTTCTTTTTCTTTTTTTGATAATTTCTGTATAGTAACTACCTTCCTAACCAGGAAAAGGCAGCTCTGGCATTGCAGCTCTGGTAACGTGCAATTCTCATCTTGTACAAATTGCAAGACTGCCTAAGCATGATGGGCATTGTTATCTGCACCAGTGGGCATACCAGAGGTAGTCTAGATATGTTCCTTACTGGAAGGGCAGACATTTTGGTACTTACATGTAAATATTTCTTGCAACATTTACTGGTATACGTTATGTTAAGCTTTTTTTTTATTTTTTGTTTTGTTTGGATTCTGAACTCATTGTTAAAAAAAATGTTTATGTTGTTCAGTTTTTACATCTCTTATTAGGTTTACGAAAGAACCTTTGTACAAATGTTAATATCACTGCAATTCCAATATAATAAAGCACTCAAAAGTAATTTCATGCAATGGTCTATTTAATCATGTGGTTTTCTCATTTTGTATGACTCTAGAACTGAAATTACATCAACTTCAGAAAATTAACATAGTGCAATAACAGGGATTTTCACGAGCAGAACTGGCAGGTATTTAGTTGGGCTAGATTTTGAAGTCCTGTCCCACCATCTCAATTTCATTCCCTGGTGTCTCCGTGCATTCACTCTAGCCCAACATGTCAGGTGTTCACCTCCTCTCACCAATTTTAATCATTACCAGTGATGCAAGTTCCTTAACTGACATGTCCACAGCACCCTGATCACATACTTCCCAAAGTTGGAAGGTATGTTTAAAATCATTCGAAACATACTTCTAAAAATACTTCGGTCCCCTGGAGAGAAGATTTTGGAAGGGCAGGTTAATTTACTATCCAGAGTGATATCCATGCTATCTAAATTAATGGAATATCACAGTCTAGTCCTGTGCTTCTAGAAGGTTGGAAACATACAAATGGGGAGTCACAGCGTTCAACTTAAATAATGTTCAGAAGATAATCAATGATGCTCAACTTTTTCTTGCAATCTACGTTTACGCACATGGGATGTACAAACAATTCCTATATCAAAATCAGTTGATGAACATGTTAGTGTCCCTTTAGGTCGGTACTGTATTACCGAAACACTGTAGGGTTTCTGTCTCACTTGTCTTAAAAACTGTGCTCCACTCATCATTGTTTATCTCTTCTTCCTTTAACCGCTCTTTCTTCTATTTACTACACGGAATCTTGCAAGGGGTCTGTTTTTACTCCGCTTCTATCTCCTGATTCATTCCTTTCTTCCCTACTTCTCCAAGTGTCCTGATCTTGTTGGTCACTTACTAAGAGGTAAAGAGTCAAATCACAGTTATGTCCCATAGCCAGCAGCTGTGGACTCATATTTTGTGTCATACTGGCTAAGACATACGTGTTTCACTGCCTTTGAAGAGCCAAAATCACAACCATTCATCTGCGTAAAGAATAGAAGATAGAGCCTCATCTAACCTCAAGGTAATTGCTGAACCCACACGTTTAATTTCTGGAAGAATACACCTAGTATTTTATATGTATAATATAAAAGCTATACATACGGTGAGTTATAATGTAGTACCAAGAATGTTCTTTAAAGCTGTGTACATTGGTAGAAAAGCGATTCCCTGAACTATGTGGAATTCAAATGCAAAAAAGAATCCCTTAAAAAGTTTGGTTTGATTTCTCTTTTGCAAAGAAAAAAAGTTACAAAATGCAAGGCAATACTTTTTATGTGCTGACCATCAGCCCTTAGAAGTAATGTGTCCTGGAAAACATGGTGGGTCAGGCATTTTTATCCCTCAGTATATAATCTTTAAACCATAGAAACGAAGTTTAACATGTTAAGAAATTGGAATCGTAGAATATTGCAGAAAATATTTGCCTGCTCTTTAAGGCGCTGTTACTTTAAGCAAATAATACCTAGCTCTAGTCTAAATACCAGAAACCAAAAACTCTTTTTTTATTATAACATTGCTTAAAACAGTCACTTAGGAGAGGTTTTAACAGGTAATTCACTGCTACACCATAGAGGAATATGCTAATCATAGAGCTTCTGGGAATTTATACCAAGTGTCCTAGATTTATGTGAGGGATTCAAGGTGATAGTGTAACAGCTAATGACTGTTCTCACTGCACTGTAAAACCCTGGGCAATTTATCTGCCTTTCAGCTAGCTTTACTTGCAAATGGAGGAGAAATCAATCTTCCATATTACTATGCAAGGAGAATCAAATAACAGGGCTTCAATGTTATCACAAGGGCTGCTTTCTCCGCACATCACTGCGTGTGCTTTAATAATGTTATATCAGGGGTAGATAACTTTGGGCCATCAGGTTACTATTACTTATTTACTATTTAATACCAATATACCCCTGTGCAGGATACAATAGGCTTGCTTCTATACTTGTAATCGTTAATAATCATTTAGTGACGAGTCAATAATCGCTAAAATGTCGGTCACTGTCATTAGTGATTACCTATTGTCTCCATACCATGAAACTTAACTTTAGCAACTGGAAATTAGCAGCTGCTGAATGTTTGCGAGTATTCAGTGAAGATTAACTACTTCACTACCAAGCACTTATTGATTGAAAACTTAGCATAAAGTGTAAAGCGATAGCTAGCATACAAATATATAACACAGCAATTTTGTGTATAGATTGCTTTGCAGGCAAACTTAACATTTTAATTGTAAATTTACTATTTTTCACGTATTTATTCATCCCTTACAAATATATTTATGAAATGAAAAGCAGTGTCCTTTATCTTACATTTCATGTTAGTATAAAAGCAAAAATATAATGTTAAATAAAAATGGTCAAATACATTGCTTATATGTATTTGTTAGGCATTTCTAGCAGTACAGGTAACTGTAAATGGCAACAGAATGTAAAAAAAAAATCAGCAGTTGAGCATAATGGCCACATATAGTAAATAATGTTGAAGGATCACTATAGGATCAGGAACACAAACATATATTCCTGACCCTATAGTGAAAACCCACCATTTCGGTGGCTTGCCCCCCTCCTCCCTTAGCCTCCTCAGAATGGGTTAAAACTCATCTTATTTCCAGCGCCGCGCGGGTCTGCTGGTGCTGGCTCTGCCCCCTTTGTGACATCACCCATGGGGAAAGCATTGGATTGGCTAAAATTGGCAAGGGGGAGGGGCCAAACATAATTTTTGCCAATCAGCACCTCCTCATAGAGATGAATTGAATCAATGAATCTCTATGAGGAAAATTAGGGATTATTGTAGCTTTCGTGACCGAATAATCTAAATATTATTAACGACAGGAGGCGAATATTTTTGCTTATCTTTCTTTACTCAACCTCCCAGCAGCAAAGAAATAGTTAACAATGATGTAAAACATTTAACCTATCAGAGTGTACAGGCATAGAATATAGTGTCATCAAGCTCCTCCCAATTCCTCTTTCTTTCTGTAGCCGAGCGTGGTGTAAATCAACTGTATAAACGATGGACAAACTGTTCTGTGCGTTGGTCAACCATGTAAACCAAACTGTTAACTGCTGGATTCTTCACACTAGAAGGGAATAGAGAAGGATCATGAAACTATGGGTTCTTGTACCAGAGAAACAGTTTACAGATCACCTAAGGTGGACCTCGAATCAGGATAGTTCCAGGGCCATCTATAATATGGATAGGACTCTGGGCAAAGCATTTTCTTGGGCCCCCTGGGCCCTGCCCCTCCAACCCCCAATTACACGCAACCCCCAATCACACTGACAGACATACTGACACATACACACATATTAAAACATTCGCAGATACATATTGACACACACATATATACTGGCAGACATTTTGACACACATTCAGACATACTGACACACATACATACACACACAGACACAAACACTGACAGATATACTGACAAACAAACAGACAAATACATTGACACACAAACAGACCCATACACTGACAGAAATACTGAAACACACACAGACACATACACTGACAGATGTATTGATACACACACACAGGCATGCTGACATACACACACACTGACACACATACACAGGCATGCTGACATACACACAGACAGACATACTGACACACACACACAGACATACTGAAACACACAGGCATACTAACATACACACAGACAGGCATACTGACACACACACACACTGACATACACACAGACATACTGACATACATACACACACAGACATACTGACATACACACACACACAGACATACGCACACAAACATACTGACATACATACACTGACATACACACACAAATATAATGACATACACACACAGACATACTGACATACTGACACACACACACACACATACTGACACAGACATACACAAACACACAGACATACACACACAGACATACTGACATACACACACACAGAGACATACTGACACACACACATACTGACATACACACATACTGACACACACACACAGACATACACACACACAGACATACACACACGCACAGACATATTGACACACTTTTAGCCACCCTCCAGGTTCTTACCTTTTTATGGAGGGTGATTTCCCTGGGGTCCAGTGGCAGGCTGAGGCAGTTGGGAGTTATTTTCTAGAACTCCCCTCCTCCCTGCCTTCCTCCTCCTGCGCGGCTATTATCTCCGGTGGGAGGAAGTGACGCGCGGCACTCACTTCCTCCCAGCCGGTACAGGAAGGGGCGTCACAGCGCCCGACCGGGCCCCTGCTCACACATGCTCACGAGGTGGCCCTTAGTGCAAATCGTGGGGCCCACAGGGCAGTTGCTCTGGGCCCCCCAGGTACAACTGGGCCCGGGGCAGCTGCCCCGTTTGCTCCGCGTTAAAGACGGCCCTGGATAGTTCACACAAATTATCAATAGTGAAGGTGTAATCGTTTGATGTAACCAGTGTGTAAATCTATGTCATATGATGTGAGTATGTCTTATGGAAAATGTATGGTTTAGTGTAATCAAAACTTACCTCAAAGGGTGGGAGTAGTTAACCAACGGGTGGGAAAATATTTGCCTCCTGTCGTTAATAAAGACAGGAGGCTTCATATTTGTTGTTTTAACACTCCTATATAATAGAAGATACAGCATGTGGCATGGGTTTAAAATAAAAGATTCGATTCCCTGGACCAATCTGCGGAAGATAAGATGTCGGAGAGGGAACTACCTGCACGGAAGGCCGAGGATGCGGCTGCACCTCTGACTGAGTGAGCTCCAAAGGAGGTGTTAAGGCCTGCTTGGACGTGGATCCATTTGATCCATCGTGCGACAGCAGGAGTGGAGACCGGTTTGTGCGGTTTAACGTAGGAAACCAGGAGATGTCCGGCAGGGGGCGCAATGTAGCCGTGGAGTCCAGTGGTGTATCCTGGTTTTGTACTGCCCTAGGCAGGACAAAACTCAGGCGCCCCCCCCCCACTCCCACCCAACCCTTCCCCCCCGCCCCGCCTTCTAAATGCGCACACACAC